AAAAAAAAAAAAAAAAAAAAAAAAAAAAAAAAAAAAAAAAAAAAAAAAAAAAATGAAAAAAAAACAATCGAGCACGCAGCCTCATAATTTCCCGCTCGACAGTCGGCAGCCAATAAGCGAAACTGCGCAGACTCGCTGGAGCCAGAAAGGAAGAAAAAGAAGAAGAAGAAGAGCTGGAGAGACGCAGAGGAGCGAGAGCTCGCGATTGTAGAATGGCACTGCGACGCGGGCAAACGGAGCATTGGAGCAACGGCCTGGAGGTTGGCAGCATTTACAAAGGGGACGAGGGGAGGGGGAGGGAAGGGACCGGTCGGTTCGGCTGCTGGCGTTGCCCAAGCGCCGAGCCGCGCCAGCACACACAGTGCAGAGAGATCGCGCTCGGCGTCTGCGTCGGGGTCGGGTTGGCAGCCAGCTAAAGCCGTACACAAGTACGTATAGCCGTCGTTACAAGTATACGTATAGAGCCCACAGGGCGCAGGATTTTGTCGTGTTGTCGCCCCCGCACGGGCATAAAATATCTCCTCTCCGTACGAGTGGCATACAGTTATAATACTTCATTGCCTACTATATAAATATACGTTTCTCGGTTCCATTGTTTAGTGGGTAGTGCGGGTACACTAGAGTGGCGGTGTTACAATACGCGCGCGTAGTACTACGTCCGCTGCGTGCGTGGGCGTTTGTTTTTGTTAGCCAGTGCAGTGCAGTGACTGTTGTTACATAGGGTTCGCGATACTTAACAAGTGAGCCGTTTTCAACTTTAACACAACTATACGTCAATAGTAAGTACTTACCTGTACAGGTATACAGGAAAGATTCTCACTGCCGCTTGGCTGGCACGAGATGCTGCGGGATAAGGATCTGCTGTGCCACAAGTTCTCGGCACCGTTGCCGCTGCATCGTCGACTGATACTCGGGGCAGCAACGCCGTGCATTGCCTTGTTATAATACAAAGCGATCAGGGTTTCTGGACGAAAAACAGGGCTACGTTTTACGAATCACCGCGAGCGCCTTCATTGGTCAGTGTCGTCGTGGGCTCTAATGTGGTCCGCTGTTGGAGTGTACCGATTGTTTTTTGTACGCCCCCATCAAGAGCAAAGGTCACGAAGGCCGTACCAGTAACTATTAAAAAAAGGCCATCGTGACAACAATAACAACAATAGTAGCAGAAGGTTGAATGTATACCCACACGAGCTCGAGTTTTATCGAGGCCTTATTGAGCAACAAGAGCCATGGCTGCTATCGTCCGCACCGTTTGCGGGGCCAGTGCCACTATCTTCTCCGGTTGTGCTTCTGCAGCTGCCGTCTGAGCTCTCGGATGCGTGGAGGAGGATGTATCTGAGCAGTAGTACGTCGTGGGCTTGTCTCCGGCTGAACTCCACGACAATTCCACCTTCGATGATACGCCTGCAGTGATAGTGGCCAGCAGCGGCAGGTAGTAAAAGGACGTGCAAGGAGGAAAAACGAATAAAATATTTTTTGAATACAGTGCTTATAGGAATATAATGGTGTTTGGTGTTTTATTTTCTTTCTGACGGTGTGTTGTTGCGTGGCCGTATACAAAAAAAAAAGTGGTTTTTTTTTTTTTTTTTTTTTTTTGCTCTGTTCAAATATACATATAGTTACCGTACTTAATTGCAGATGATCGAATGTTGTTGTTCAGTGCAGCGCTGAGTGTGCGTTTCATTTTGTTTGTGTTTAATACGCCAAGTATCATACTGCGGGCAGTCTAAAAGTGTTTGTAGTAATACCAAGAGGCTTCTCAGCTTTTCTCAATCATCTTCTTCTTGGCCGATTGTCCGCGACGACGGAGAGGAATCGAAGACATGAGACGGATAAGTGGTAAGATGCACACCGTTATTGTTTTCTTTTTTCTTTCTGTCCCATACGTGTATCTACTTTGCTCTTTTTTTTTTTGTTCATCTCTATGGTAGTGTGTACTTGGGTAGGCACGTGAGATTTGGTTTAGCGGGGAAAATCGATAAGGGGAGAAAAGCAGGAGTGCAGGGAGAGAGAGATACGTTACAGATGAGATCGGCGATGTCGATTACGCCGGCCGGCTTGGCGAGCTTTCTGACCCTCCCCCTCTTTTCCCTCGTTTAGCTTTTTTCGGCCCTTTTCCCGCAATTGATATTTCTCTCTCGCTCTCTATGTCCGGACGACGATGAAAGGGCTCGCTTCATTGAAACGGATCTTTTCCCCTTTTATCTTAATTCGTAATAAACGCGAAATGACGTGCTTCGCTTGACTTCGCGGAGTGAAATTCGAGGGAAGAAAAAAAAAAAACTCAGTCTCAAGTTCAAGTGAAACACCTCGATTTTTTTGATTACGCAACGCGTTGATCTTGCTTTAATCTTTTTAATTGATGTCGATGCTTTCTACGTTGGAGTAATAGCAGAAAAATACATTTGTCGAAGATTAACACACGCAGCGTTACAACTCGACGAGAAGCCAAAGAAGCGGGCAGGGCCGCGTCAGCACACCAGTGTAATTCTAAGACTCCTGAAAGACTCTCTTTTATGTAGACACAGCTCTCTGACTCATTAGCGCTCGCGTTTCCTTTTCGGCTGTACACGGATGGTCGCAAAAGAAACCCGCGCTGCTTGATCGCGAAATTTTCCTCGAACGAGAAACTTTTTGTTTCTCCCTTTCATCCGTGCATTGTCTTTCCCCTCTCGGCCTTTGAAGGAGATAAGTTTTCTTGCCATTTCGCAGCAACTTTTTGCTAATTACTCCTTGGTTTTTAACGCATTATTATTGAAAACTACGTTTCTATGAATTTGTGTTGAAAAATATATGGTTTTAACAACTGCGTATTATCGTGAAATCTTTAGTTGTACAGTTAGCCATCAGCTGTAGAAATTCATCCTGAATTTCGCCCTACTCGAGGCTCATCTTTTTGGAGTAGTGATAAGCTGAGTGTGGGTTGATGAAATTTCACAATAGCGCAAAGACCTCAGCGTTTGATGCAGACTCGATTTTAATTGTTAAAAGCGTTCGAGTACCAATAGTCATAATTGCTATCGAATAAACTGCCCGCAAATTTTTCGATATCGCCATCTAAATAAGGGGAAAATTGAAATCCGACTTGCGTGCGTATCGCGATCTATAACGGTAGTTCTCGTTACGTCCAAACGCATATGTACATACATACACCGGGGACGATGCGTTCCTTCACTTTCAGCAACAGCAGTGGGTTCTTCAGATTCGGTTGATCATGAATACTTTTTTCCCCCTCCAAGGCTTTTCAAAAACAATTTCCCCATACATTCATCGTTATACAGCTTATCGAGATAATTATATTCATTAAAATTGCTAAACAGCAGGTAGTAATTTGCTTCTTCCCTCTCGTTGAGGCAGCGAAAACAAATCCATGAAAGCTATATATACTCTTAATAACATACGTATATATTGACCAGAAACCTTACCACATTGAGAGAAAATGTGGATGAAACCCGAGAGTTGTTTTGTAATTTTCGATTTTTTCATCTTACGCTCATTTACGCAAGGTATCATTCTACGATTTCCAAAAGATGAGATGATTGCCAAAACAAAAAGATAAACCTCTCATTTTACATTAAATGATTTTATCGCTCTCCCGGACAGAGAGACGCATAGTTAAAAATAAAAAAAAAAAAAAAAAAACGATTGCCATACACACCGCACACGTTCGCTAAGCACCAAACTAACCCTCGCCCTCGGAGCACCGAAAAAATGGAGGGAGGAGTTGGCGCATGGTGAGCAGCAACCTGCACCGAGGCAAGCGTATAGCCGACCGTATAGCGCAGCTGCCACCGCCGTCCCTCCGAAAATTTCAGCTGCTCCTGATGTTGTCCATCAGTCCGTGTTTCTTTTGGAAAGGACATTAACTTCCTTTCCGTACGCGTCCAACGACATAGCCACGGATGAAATATCCCCTCTCTCTAATAATCCTTGCAACTCCTTGGTACTACACATTTTTTGTACCTTTCAGCAATTCCTGTAGACATAAGCAAAAATGTACCGTATCAAATCTTCATCTATACCTATGCAGTTATTACTGATGCGCAGTTATAAATTTTGGTATGGATAAAAAGTACTGGTACGTGAACGCACAGGCGTAGATACTAGATACATACCAAACAGGAAGCTAGAAGAATAGTAATAAGTAGCAGAAGAAGAAATAAAAACGCCATCTGATAACTTGTAAATGCGTGTTTATGTATAACGTGTGCGGAGCGTCCTTTACACTTTTACGCAAGGCCTCGGCCGATGTATATAGCGAACGACCCCAAGAGAGAACAGAAAGAAAGATATTAGTATAGGTATACATTTGCTGTATAGGTAGGCTCGAGTGTTCCCTTTTGGCTCTATATGTATACCTATGATTCTCGGCTCGGTACGAAAGAGGCCCCTCCCCCTTCAACTATACCTATACTCTCCCAATGCCTTGCACGGCCTTTTCAGCTATACATCCACGTCCACGTCCACCAGGTCTTTTCTCTCTTTCCTTTTTTTCTCTTTGCCTATTATACTGGAACCTATAGGTAGCCACTGCTCCGATGCACTCTCGTGACTCGTGAGAGAGGAGAGCTACGCGCACACCTACAAAAGAAACGAAGCTGTATAACCACGCAAGAATATATACAGGTATGGCTCCGAACGCGTCCCCTGTGCGCCCGTTGGGAACGTATATTTTCAAGGCTATGCACGGCGCTTAGGAGATCAGCTCTCCTTTTCGCTCTCCATGGCTACCAAGCACATGTACACTCTCCTTTTTTCCTTCCTCGTCTTTTACTCCGCTACTGCTTTTACCATTGCAGTTTGCAGTATTCTTTTTTTACTCTTTGCGTGCCCACCCGTACCTATACTCTTCTTCTTTTTATTTTGCTAGCTCGGATTTCGGGCTCTCGTGCGTCTATACCTATATATACAGGTAGTAAAAGAATCACCTCGCCCACGCGCGCGTCGAGTGTCCGTTTTCAAGTGCTCCGGACGTAAAGTAAGCCACCTTTTTTTTTTTCCTCAGATTGTTCAGCTGAAAGAGGGTAATTATTGCCATTGCCGTGTACAGCTAGCACCTCGAAGAAGGATCTTTGTTTAGCTTTTAATTTGACGAGCTGGATTTTTTGGGATTAAGCAGAAGAGGTGGTATAATTTTTTTTTTTGTTTACGTATTCAGAGGGAGGTTTTGGAGCTTTCGATTGAGTCGTACAGAGTCACTGAGATCACGTTTTTTTCGGGTGCAATCGTTCAATGAAGTGCCTCGTGTTCCCACTAGAGAATAAATAAAAACACCGGATTTATCTCTTTTCTCTCAGCTAAACAGGAAATCAAACTCAACTTGCAGCGTCTTACTTATTTGACAGTGCTTTTCAGGTTGTCATTTTATAATGTGAAGAATGGTACAAGCCCGATGTACCTCAAATGGTATTTTTCTCATCTTGACAACTATAACTTTAGCTGTGGTGTAAAAATTATATCTAAAATAATTCAAAACAAACTCTGTGTTTAATGGTTTGAAAATAACAGCGACATGCTCTTCGTAGTGGCATTAACAGGTACGTGATTTAATACAATAATACCAACGCTATTTCAATGCTATTCGCTTCGTGCAGCAATTTAAAAGAGCGCCACCTTCAGGGAAAAATATGTCGTCGATACTCACTAACAAGAATACGTAGCCCCTTATGGACAATGATCTGTTACAAGCGTTTATTTCAACAATAATGTATCTTACACAACTTGAGTAATTGTTTTAAAGTATTACGTATACTTCCGAGCAGGAAAATATCTATTTAACAGTGCATTGATAAAAAAATGTGTTTTCTCCTCACATACTTGTATTTCGTTAGTGAGTATTGCAGTTTTCCTCAAGTATCAATTTATTTCGTGGAATACTTTTTAGTCAGCACATTCGAAAGTAATATTTATCATGCTCATCCATACAATTACATCCATTCCAAACGAGAAGCTAATTTTTCTAAATGCAATAGTAAATAAAGCTTTTTTGATATTACTACGCTACACTTGGAACCGAAAGAACTTACTTTAGTTGTTAAATATTTATTATTGTTGCAATAAACACTTGTAAAAGATTATTGTCCACAAGGGGCTGTGTATTCTTGTTAATGAGTATCGATATTTTTTCCTGCAGGTCCCGTTGTTTTAAATTGATGCACGAAGCGAACGAGCAACCGTACAACAAAATGATTATAACAATCGTACCCCGTACCAACATTTACAAGGACTGGCACTATTATGAACTAAGTAATACTGAATAACCTGAAACGAGCTAGTCTTCGATAAGTCACTTTTTTCCATTAACACTGAGCTACGGATTCTGGTAAAGAGAACGAATGAAATGATATTTTACATCACGAGTAAATACTTAAACTAAAAATTACCTCGAAAAGCGGCAACACGAATGATCAGGTTTTTTTTTTTTTTTTTATTAATGATCAAACGATCGTTGCCGCTCCCGTACACAGTTACTCAAGTCTTGAACCAAATTGCGTTGAGCTGCGACACTTGCAACGTACCTACTGAGCTACTGATTCTGTTTTCAGGCTAATGCTACATCGTAAACTTTGTTAATAACAAAAAGCAAAAGCACAAAATAAACTCTCGCATGTTATACACTTCAAGTACGGTATAATGACATTATAGCAAGGAAGGAAGAGAGCGTATAATTTCAAAAATAACCAATGAGCAGCTCCGCAGTCTCGGTGGCTATAGATATAGCCATTAAGAAAATGACATGTTTACAATTTTCGCGATCAGCTGCAGCGTGCTGGCCCCGTATTAGGGGTGACGTGCACTTTCTAATTCAAACTCTCCTCAGACCACGGCCATTGCCATGT